GCGAGGGTAGTAAAACTGCCACGGCGGGGTGTCGGTGGGGAAGCCAAGGAAGGCGCAGCGGAGAGTGCGAGAAGAGAGCTTGCTCGCAGTGGTATCGCGAATAAGGGAGAGTGCGCCCCAGACCCGAAACGCTGACACACGCCAACCTTTCCCGTCCAATGGAGTGTGGGCAAGGTCTCTGGCTCAGAGACACGAAGCCAGAGGTTGAGCTGATGCACGGCGTATCGGACCGCAAACGGCCACAGAAAATGGGGAGCAGCCGCATGGATGATGGAGGTGCGAGCAACCTCCATCACCAAGCCAATGCGGCGCTCTGCAATCCCATTCTGCTGTGGAGAGGCCGGATGCGTGAATGTCTGGCATATGCCCTCTTCTCGACAGAACTCCGCAAGGAGGCCAGAATAGAACTCACCACCCCTGTCAGAGTGCAGACGTTGGACTAGAAGGTCCCGCCGAAACCGCTCGCGCAACTGGAGACGAGCAGCGCAGATCCAGGGGTTCAAAACACCAGTGATGTCCGCCTTGCTGCGCAAGGGGAAGACTGTGGTGTAGTTTGAGTAGTCGTCCCACTGACGCGGGCTGGGCCCCACACGTCCATGTGGAGAGTTTGCAAAGGAGCAGTGGTCGGAGGAAACTCAGAGGAGTGAGGAGCGGCGCGCTGCCGCCCCTCAACACAGGGAAGGCATGGCGGAGCAGGCGAGCGCGGGAGGGGGGGCAGAGACCTGGGAAGGCCAGAGACAAGGAGACGGGAGTTCATGCTGCGCAGACATGGCAGAGAGGGGTGACCGAGTCGGTGGGAAAGTACCCGACACGAGCAAGATGCTGCAAGCTGACCAAACGCAGACACCTGACTCGACGCAGCCACCTGACCTGACACAGCCACCTGTGCAGACGCAGTGGCCAGGGTGTACAGACTAGACCCAGGCTGCCAAGTGAATGTAGCAAGGTGACTTCCAGTCCGGGAGCACGTACAGATCGCCACGCGCTGCCCTCTAGGGATAAAGGTATAAACCCAAACATCCTGAAGGACTGCGTTGCTCACCAAGTTCGTCGAGAACGAAGGGAGGTGGAGGCCTGAGCCGGAGGGGGCTGGTGGACACGGGAGGACAGAGGAGGCTCGCGCTACTACTGGGCCCCATGTGGGGTCAGCCAGTGAGACTGGGACATGTGCTGCGAGGGGTGTGACTGTGGTGCCATCACGAAAGAAGCAACGTGACGCTCCCGAGTCAAGTGTGAAAGTGTGCAAGGCCTCAGCTGAGGCAGGACCAGTGGCGGTAGACGCACTAGCACCTAGAGCTGCAGCAGACTCACTAGCACCTAGAGCGGCAGCAGACTCATTAGCACCTAGAGCTGCAGCCTCTACACAACCTGGGACGCCTCACTGAGAAACACAGTCACGAAGCCGCTGCGGGGAGAAGGTCTTCTGCTGCCGCCGCTGTCCAGTATCCATAAAACCATAACCTCCACCACCTAGACAGCCGCGCTGAACTACCCACTCGCGGATCTGCTGCGGCGAGAGAGTGTCTGGGTGCGCGGGCTGCCACTGCTGTCCAACACCTCCAGCACGATAACCTCCACCACCAGGACGGCCTCGCTGGATAACCCACTCGCGAAGCTGCTGTGGTGATAGATTGTCCGGGTGAGGCAGACGCTGCTGTTGTCCACCCCTAGACGTTGCTACGACCGTGATAGTGGCCATGACAGGTAGTGGCAGTCAGTAGCAGCGGCGCAAAGGCGGTAGTAGCGACTGCTGTAGCTGCAGCTGTAGCAGTATTGGTGGTCGCTGTGGCTGTAACAGCAGTAGCGACTGTTGGAGTGGCTGTGGAGGCCAGTAGGGTGCGTGGGCAGCACGGCACGAGCTAACGTAGTAATAGCAGCAGTGGCAGCAGTAGCAGCAGTAGCGCCAGCAGCTGCAGGGCAGGGCGGCGCGCGGGCCTATGGGCAGGGCATCGCAGCTCGTGTGCTGCAGGGCAGAGCAGCACGACTCTAAGGGCAGGGCGGCGCGCGGGCCTAAGGGCAGGGCAGCGCAGCGCGTGGGCTGCAGGGCAGGGCAGCGCGGCTCGCTGGCTGCAGGGCAAGGCAGCGCGGCTCAGGCGGCAGCAGCAGCCTAGCAGCAGCCGCAGCAAAGCAGCAGCAGTGCAGCAGCAGTAGCACAGGTGGAAGCAGGGGCTCGGCAGGGTAGAGCGCAGCTGCAGTAGCGCGTGTAGCAGTAGTGCTTAGCAGCAGCAGCCGCAGCAGTAGCAGCAGCGCATGCAGCATCAGCAGTAGCGCTTAGTAGCAGCAGCAGCGCATGCAGTAGTAGCAGCTGCGTAAGTGACAGCAGCAGCAGCTTGCATCAGCGCGGAGGGGCAGGGCGCAGGCAGGGTGCGCGTAAGTGCGGGTGGGGTGCGCGCGGGCAGGGCGCAGGCTGCTGGCGGGCAGCGCAAGCGGGCAGGGGCGCAGTGGCGCTCGCGGGCAGGGGCGCAGTGGCGCTTGTGGGCAGGCAGAGTGCTCGCGGGCGGGCAATGCGCTAGGCAGCAGGCAGCGCGATTGCGGGCAGGGCAGGGCAGCACGATCGCGGGCAGGGCAGGGCAGCGCGATGGCGGGTGGGGCAGGACAGCGCGATCACGCTAGAGGGACAGCCCAAAAAACAGCGCATGCGGGGCAAAACGAACAGTGCGCTCTTAGGGCAGCGCGCTACGGGCAGTTATAGCCTAGCGTGGTGGGCCCAAGAACACTAGGAAGGGAGTAGGAAGGTACCTAGACTCTGAATCCATGTTAGAAGTAGCGAGAAAGTGATGGTGGATTAGGTTAAAGGGGGAGGTACAAGAGTGTCAAGAAAAGTGTTGTACCCTCTATATATAACCCCTACATAGCTTAGAAATATAGAAAGCATATAACGTTTTGACAAGGCGGATAGCTGCTGCAATGCGCCATTCGGTCTCTGAAAGTTGCATGTGCGGGGAGAATGGAGCCACAGTGAGCCAGTCACCTACATGCGGGCCCTGCAAAGAGGTTAGGCGAGCAAGGCGAAGCGGGGACGTTACTGTGGCTCAAACCTTCTCCAACGGATCGGCTTCGAGGTGTTGGGAGAGGTGAGTAAAGAGTTCAAGAGAGTAGCCTGGTTGAAGCACAAACCACGATGTGAAGCGATCACGAATGTCTTGGGGAAACATGGTCATGGTAGATGAGATTGAAGGGTTGAGGTGGTTAATGGATTCTGTGGTAATGTAACGGTGGAAAAGAGGAGCACCATTGGTGATGAAGTGGGTAGATAAGGTCGAAACTGTCTGCGCCCAGCTGCAGAGGTAACTGAGGGGGGCAATAGATGCAGAGCCGCGAATGTCGAAGCCAACCAAGCGGATAGGGAGCGAGGCTTGGAGTCAGGTTGATGTGTACTGTTCAGAGGTGGGATTCCAGTACTCGGAGCCCAGGAGCTGAGAGAAGTGGCTAAAAATGGTGCAGTCCCATGAGGAGAGTAACTCTTAGATTTCGGGAAAATGTGCGACAATTCGGAGGAAGAAAGGTCGGGCATTGATGCACAAGGAAAGGATCTGTGAGGCAATATGTAGGTCCTGCAGTCAATGCAGTTTGGGGAGGGAGGAAGTGAAAGAATCAAGCTTGTCACGAACTGTAGAGGTGATGTAACCATCTGAGCCAGTAGGAACACCTGCAACAGTGAGACCGTTTGCAGCGATGGAAATACCCGAGGGCGGAATGCGGTGTTCGGGCAAGTCCATAGGGGCCTATAGAGAGCACTTAGAGGGTTGGACAGTAAGGCCAAGAGAGAGAAGGCGGGCGGTAAGGTCAGTGTATGCGGCAAAGGCGTCTGAGGGAGGGCCGACCAAGTAGGTATCGTCCGCGTATGACGTAATGAAAATTGAGGGATGCAGCTGCTGGGTTGGTTGGATGGCTAGTTGCTGCGCTAGGGCGTACAGAAAAGGACCACAAGGGTCGCCTTGACGAACACCGTAAGCTGACTGGAATGTGTGGAGAAGGGGGCCGCTGCGGTAATGGAGAGGTGAAGGGGTGGAGTAAAATAGGCGGAAGAAGGGAATGAGACTGGAGAATGGGGAGCGCCTTAATGCCTCAAACATGATAACTCTGTTGAAGGAATTGAATGTGTTTGCGACGTCCAATTGCAGCACCACTCAGTCCGGATGAAGGGAGAAGGCGGAACAAACGTCGTGCGACATGACCTCGATGCCTGCTGGAACTGCTACACCAAACTGAAGGTGAGGAAGAAACGACTCTTGCATCTGCTGCTTGAAGAGGAGAGTGATGCGGCGTGAAAGAAGGCGTGGTAGCACTTCTCCAATGTCGATGGGATGTACACCACCATGCGGTTTCTGTAGGGCGACCAGGTTTGAAGCGGTGTAGAACGGCCTGACTGTAGGTGGAAGATCGCCTTGTAGCCACTTCATGAAGACGTGGAGGAGAGAGGGGAGATGCTGTTGGTGGGACAGAACGTGTCTCTGAGGTGCTCAATGAGCCACCCAGAAGGTCCAGCACCTGTGCTACGGTGGGCGGACTGTAGAGCGGCGTGGAGGACGGGGACAGTAAGCTGTGGTGCGGGAGCAGAAGCTTAGCTGTGTATCCAGAAAGGAATCTCGACAGCAGGTGGGTGCTTGGAGCTGAGGGCAGCAGCTGTTTCTGATGATGGAGGTGCTAGCTCGCCCGCTTCTACTGCTATTAGTGACCGCGACCAATCCCCGCATTTCGCAAACCGCTTCGCACGGTTGAGACGAGCCTGCAGCGCTGTAGAACGTGCTGATGCCATGTGCATAGGTCTGGCTGCTGGACTGGCTGCAGCTACGGCTTCGCTGAAAAGAGACTACCAGTCACCATTGATGAAGTGGTGCGTTAAAGAAGCACATGAAGAGGTAAGGGGCTGTGTGGGAGCAGCGCGCCAGATGGTAGGCGCAGTAGGAGACGCGGAAATGCCAAGAGTATGAGGTGTGCAGCGACGTCAGAAGGATGATGTGCAAGGCGGCGCAGTAGAATGAGAAGTGCATCGAGAATTAGGAGTCAGATGCGGGAGGGGATTCGGCGGAGAATAGGGCCAGATGAGACTGCTGGGCTGAAGAAGGAAGGCCAATCCCAGGAAGGAACGGCCTCCCATGTGGCTTCGGGAATAGAAGGTCGATCTGCGGCTGCGGGGGCTTAAGTTGGGGCTGATGAGGGGGGAGGAGGGGGTCGAGCAGCTTGCTGTCGTGTGGCGGTGTTGCGAGAGGGTGAAGCAGCAATTTCATAGTGTGATAGTGGGTGCGAGTCATCAGCAAGGGCCATAAGATCAGTAGCATCTGTTATGGTAATTGGAGGAGGGGCTGAGGTAGAGGAGGGATGGTCACGTGAAGGCGAGGGCATAGGGTGAGAGGTTTGAGGCTGAGATGAAGACAGGGAATTGGGAAGGGTGTCTTTCAGAACCTGCTGGAGAACCTCCTTCTGTTTCTTTGAGACAATTTTCGCCGCTGACGTTGGCTGAGGTTGCTGGGAGGGAGCAGAAGATGAACGAGGCTGAGGAGTAGACTTTGGTGCGAGGTTCGATGGGGCAGTCGAAAGTGTCTCAGAGGCTGGAGTCGGTCGCGAACGGGCAAGAGGACGAGGAAGGGGTTCGGAGTCTTGGGCACCACAGCTCCTTTTGCGGCCTATCACCGTGGCTCATGTCATGAACTCAAGGCGATGCTCGTGTGCGCCCCACGGTTGAGTAAGGACTACAATATCTCAAGAGAATCTCAAAGGACCGTACCTCAAAGGACTACAATATCTCAAGAGAATCTCAAAGGACCGTACCTCAAAGGACTACAATATCTCAAGAGAATCTCAAAGGACTACAGTATCTCAAGAGAATCTCAAAGGACCGTACCTCAAAAGACTACAGTATCTCAAGAGAATCTCTCTCTGCTGGACCCCCCTAGAATCCTGTTGGGCCGTACTGGGCAGTATGAAATACTATTTTCTCATCAACCTGGGTTACAAAAGTCCACTCTGGAATATCAGATTGATATGGCACAATATGCTCACTTGCTCTTTCTGAAAAGGGTGCTACTAAAAACCAAACAGCTCTGAAAAATAAGGGTGCTGTTGACAACCCTGCATTTTAGTAAGTGTCAGAAGGGCAATTCACCCTGTCATCCATGCATCCTGCATTGTTAACTCAGCTGCTCCTGCTGCTCCCTCCAGCTGCTGCTCGGTTCAAACTCCAAATCATCATGCTCAAACATCCCCAAATCAGCAGGAGGATAACCATGCAACCATGGGCTTCGCCTGTTTTTTGAGAATTCTAAAAAACCAGACCCATACTGTCAAGTCGATACCTCCTGCACTGCTGCATGCGTGTGTGTTGCTTCCTCCCTCCTGCTGATGCTGCTGCTGCTGCTGCTGCTGCTGCTGCTGCCTCCCAGTTCGTATACTTCCTCCCAACACTCCTACTCGTGTGGCCAAACAGCCCCCAGTCGTTGATCTGGAAGGAGGCAAGCAGCCGTTGAAACACCTGGACGGCACCTGTCGCTCCCACCACCCTTGCTGACGCCTCCTATGCTGCCGCCTGGTTATCTGCTGCTCCCCTGCTGCTTCTGCTACACAATGGTTCTTTATTCTTGCGGCCCAACCCCCAGTCATTGATCTGGAAGAACGCAAGCAGCCATTGAAACACCTCCCTGTCCGCTGTATCTCCTACCACCCCTGCTGATGCTGACGCCTCCTGTGTTGCTGCCTGCGTGACTGTTGCTCCACTGCTGCTGCTGCCTCCAGTTTCTATACTGCCTCCCAACTCCTACTCTTGCAGCCCAAACAGCCCCCAATCGTTGATCTGGAAGGAGGCAAGCAGCCGTTGAAACACCTGCCCGCCGGCTGTGGCTCCCAGCACCCCTGCCGATGCCTCCTGTGCTGCTGCCTGCGTGACTGCCACTCCACTGCTGCTGCTCCCTCCCAACACTCCTACTCTTGCGGCCCAAACAGCCCCCAGTCGTTGATCTGGAAGGATGCAAGCAGCCGTTGAAACACCTGCCCGCCGGCTGTGGCTCCCAGCACCCCTGCCGAAGCCTCCTGCTCTGCTGCCTGCGTGACTCCTGCCGTCCCCGCTGCTGCCGCACTCTCACTCTGCTCACTGATAGGTGAAAGAGGAAACGAGGGGAATGTAAGGATAGGAAAGAAACGGTAATTTGGGGAGAAATGGGAGGGGGAGGAATAGGTCAAATGCTTGCCTCCTGCACTGCAGCCTGCGTGACTCCTGCCGGCCCCGCTGCTGCCGTGCCGCACCCTCAGTCTACTCACTGGTAGCTGATTTCCATTAAGGTGAGGATGGGTTGTTGTGGCAACAAGGGAGGTGATAGCAACAGTGTATCATTAGTGATTAGTGGGCCAGAATGGAAGGAGCGAGAATGGAAATACAACGTCCCTTTGAGAAACCTCAAAAGTCAGAACAACACACCAAGAACTTCTAAACCCATACGGGGCTTCTGAGAGCTCTCAAAAACCACTTACAAGTTACAAGACCATACAAGCCTTTTGAAAGCTCTCAAAAACCACTTACAAGTTACAAGACCATACAAGCCTTTTGAAAGCTCTCAAAAACCACTTACAAGTTACAAGACCATACAAGCCTTTTGAAAGCTCTCAAAAACCACTTACAAGTTACAAGACCATACAAGCCTTTTGAGAGCTCTCAAAAACCACTTACGAGACCATACAAGGCTTTTGAGTGCCTCAGTAGCGCAGGTCAGTTACCAGGCAACAGAATATCCGTACCTGATAAAGAGTGGCTCGTTGACTGTTATTAGCACGTCTGTGTGCACATTGCGCAGGCGAAGATTGGCCAAGTAGACCTGGGGGTGGTGAGTGAGGGAGAGGCAGGGAATGTGAAGTTTCAGTTTTTGAGGCACCTCAGAACTCGAGTTGAGAGGGATAAGCATGTCTCTTTGCTGTGCAACGTGCACGTTGCACAGGTGAAGCTTGGGCAGGCAGACATGGTGCCGGAAGGGAGGGAGAGTGGAGGACGGCGGGGGTTGAGGAGGTTTGGGGGACGGGGGGCGAGAGGGAAAAAGGGGAGGAGGGGCAGGGGATGGGAAAGTTCTATAATTAAAGCAAGCGGGACAGGACAGAAGGTGAGTGGTGGAAGCGTTTAAAAGCATGGAAGGGTACATGTTGGGGAGCAAGGGACGCAAGAAAAAGAAGTTAAACTTACCCGGACCACATTCAGAGCTTCGGCACCTTGCCGACCCTTGGATACAGTCTGGTTTGGTATAGAAATCAGCAGGAACACACAAGAAAACGGGGAGAGAGAGGGCCGTTCATTCAACGTGACAGGCACAACAGTTCAACAGGGCCACACGGAAGCAGTACAACAGGGGGAGCTGAGACATCTTAAAATGACATTACAGCGAGACATCCGCCTTCGACAGACCTCGTGAGCAATGAGTCGTGTTTTGAGTCGACTCAAAGCTGAGACATCTCAGAATGACATTACAGCGAGACATCCGCCTTCGGCAGGCCTCGTGAGCAAGGTACAGTACAGCCACTGTTATGAGTAAACAGGTGGGCTGCGGAGGTCTTATGTCCATCAACTTAGCTGGTTCTAGGACGACGAGACAAACTCCATCCGCCTTCGGCAGGCCTCGTGAGCAAGGTATAGCCACACAAAACGCAGTAAATCAAATACGTGATTGTACTTTGTACCTGTCTCTCAGAGGTTAGGTGTTACGGTTGAGAATTTCGGGTTCAATGCTATTGCGATCAGATCAAGTGCTGCGCATTACCATTCTGACGACGGCACATGTGGCACATTACCATTCTCTGCACACGTGGCACATTACCATTCTCTCCACACGTGGCACATTACCATTCTCTGCACACGTGGCACATTACCATTCTCTCCACACGTGGCACATTACCATTCTCTGCACACGTGGCACATTACCATTCTGCCCACAGCATAGCTCTTGAAAACAGAGGAGTCCACGTGAGGGCAGTCTGTTGAGGGGATAGGAGCAGCAGATTCCAAAGCCTGTATGGGTGTGGGTGGGATGAGCGGATGGGTTTGCATATGAATGCTGTGATGAATCCAAACAGAGGGATGAACGTATTGGCAGTTTAAACGCAGACAGTCTGTTGAGGGGATAGGAGCAGCAGATTCCAAAGCCTGGGTGTTGGTTGCAGATTGGTTGGTCTCACACGGATGGGTGCGACACACATGGGTGGGTGGGTCACACACGGATGGGTGGGTCACACACGGATGGGTGCGACACACATGGGTGGGGTCACACACGGATGGGTGGGTCACACACGGATGGGTGGGTCACACACGGATGGGTGGGTCACACACGGATGGGTGGGTCACACACGGATGGGTGGGTCACACACGGATGGGTGGGTCACACACGGATGGGTGGGTCACACACGGATGGGTGGGTCACACACGGATGGGTGGGTCACACACGGATGGGTGGGTCACACACGGATGGGTGGGTCACACACGGATGGGTGGGTCACACACGGATGGGTGGGTCACACACGGATGGGTGCGACACACATGGGTGGGTGGGTCACACACGGATGGGTGGGTCACACACGGATGGGTGCGACACACATGGGTGGGTGGGTCACACACGGATGGGTGGGTCACACACGGATGGGTGGGTCACACACGGATGGGTGGGTCACACACGGATGGGTGGGTCACACACGGATGGGTGGGTCACACACGGATGGGTGGGTCACACACGGATGGGTGGGTCACACACGGATGGGTGGGTCACACACGGATGGGTGGGTCATGAGACATGCGTCCACATGAGGCCGTCACATTTGACAAGTGTTAACATAGATCGCCGAAGTTTTGAGTTCTCAAACGGGGCAGCATAGCTCTCTTGAATCCAAAGACATGCGCCCACATGAGGGCCGTCGGCGAATGGGAAAGGAGCGCTTAGGGGTTGACACACCAGAAGGGCACGTGTGCTGCAGGCAGGGCACATGTGGAGTAGGGCGCACGTGGTGCAGGGCGCATGTGGTGCAGAGCGCTTGTGGTGCAGGGCATGTGTGGTGCAGGGCATGTGTGGTGCAGGGCATGTGTGGTGCAGGGCATGTGTGGTGCAGGGCATGTGTGGTGCAGGGCACATGTGGTGCAGGGCATGTGTGGTGCAGGGCACATGTGGTGCAGGGCATGTGTGGTGCAGGGCACCCACCCTTTACAATTTGAGACACCTTAAAAAACCCATCCCACCATCCTACCATCCCTCCATCCCACCATCCTACCATCCTACCATCCTACCATCCTACCATCCCACCATCACCATCCTACCATCCCACCATCCCACCATCCTACCATCCCACCATCCTACCATCCTACCATCCCACCATCCTACCATCCTACCATCCCACCATCCCACCATCCTACCATCCCACCATCCTACCATCCTGTCATCCCTCCATCCCACCATCCTACCATCCTATCCACCCACCCTCCAATCTCCCCTCAGCACCGTCAGCCACTCACGCTGCCTGGCTGTGCCTCCTGCTCGCGCATCAGATCCTCCAGGAACCACCTGGACGAATCAGCGTCCGCCACGTCAGCCTTCATCTCGAGCAGCTCGATCACTATGCTCTCATCCCGACTGGCATCAGCAAACACCTCCTGATAGCCACGCGGAGGGGGGGGGTGTGGTGGGGAGGGGGGGGGGGGGAGGGGGGGGGGGGGGGGGGGAAGAAGGTGGAAGAAGAGTGGGGAATGTCGTGGTAATGCCTCCAGCAGCTCGATCACTGTGCTCTCGTCCTGACTGGCATCGGCAAATACCTCCTGATAGCCACGGGGGATGGGTTTAAGAGGGAGAAGCGGGAGGAGGGAAAGATGAGGAGGAGGGAGAGGGGGAGGAGGGGGAGGGCGTGGTGATGTCTCCAGCAGTTTGATCACTGTGCTCTCGTCCCGGCTGGCATCGGCAAACACCTCCTGATTGCAGCAGGGAGAGGGAGAAGAGGCAGGGAGGGGGTGGGGAGGAACGGGAGGAGAGGCAGGAGTGGGGACGACGTGGTAATGTCTCAGCAACTTGATCACTCTGCTCTCGTCCCGACTGGCATCTGCAAACACCTCCTGATAGTCGCGCGGAGGGGGGAGGGGGGAGGTGTGGGTGGGGTTGGGGGGGGGGAAGAAGGGGGAAGAAGATTGGGGAGGATGTGGTAATGTCTCCAGGCAAACATTTGAGCATAGTGGTACTGTCTCCAGCAGTTTAATCACTATGCTCACGTCCCGACTGGCATCGGTAAGGCAAACACCTCCTGATAGCCACGGGGAGGGGGAGAACGGGGAGGAGGGGTAGAGGGGGAGCGGGAGGAGGGAGAGGAGGGGGGAAGGGCAAAGTAATGGCTCGTTCTCAGCAGCTCGATCGCTCTGCTCTCGTCCCGGCTGGCATCGCCAAACACCTCTTGATAGCCCAGGGGCAGGTCGGTGGGGGGAGGAGAGGGAGGGGGAGGAGGGGGAGGGGGAGGAGGGGGAGGGGGAGGAGGGGCGGGGGGATGAGGGGGAGGGGGAGGGGGAGTTGGAGGCGGAAGAGGGGGAGGAGGGGGAGGGGGAGGAAGGGCGAACATGGATACCCAGCGGCCACGGGGGAGAGGAGGGGTGCGTGGAGGAAAGAAGGTGGGGGATAGGAAAGAAGGTGGGGGAAAGGAAAGAAGGTGGGGGAAAGGAAAGAAGGTGGGGGAAAGGGAAGAATAGGGGGGAGAGAAGGAAAGCCCATGTGACGAGTGTTACTGCGGAAGGTAGGTACTCTTAACTCAAAGTGTGACTTGCAGCAAGTTCTCATGAAAGGTTGTTACCTCACCTGGTTGTTAGGAACTTCTCGGAAGTTGCTAATGTCCTGCCAGGAGAGAGAGGCACAGCAACGTCAAGAAATTCGTTATAAGCACTGTAAGCACACAGCAATATGAGATGAGGTATGCACTGTAGGGATTGTAAGCACTACAACCGGAAAACATGGTTGCATGAAACGAGGATAGGGAGCTGGAGCGCATACCGGTTGTCAAAACCGACGACGAGAGACATACAGGGAGTCACCTGTCTACAATCACCTACCAATGTACATAACCATTAGCTAGGCTTTCTTCGAGAGCCTTGCTCAGATCAGAAATGTCGGCGTGTTATTCCAAATCCGAAAACGGATTCTCTCAATCAACGGACCTCCGTACCTCAAATCGCGGCGCGAAATCCGCTTGAATCGCACCGCCGAACAGCGAGTGTCGCTGCATCTCCTCTCCCGCGGCTCCCGCTAGCGGCCTCTGTGGTTGCTGGGATTGCGACGGTGGATGGTCGTGATAGCACGCACCCGGCATCCCCATTGTGCTAATCTAAAGACTTCGAGAGCTGGATTTCGTGCTTGCACTGAATTCGACCAATTCGTGATTGAAAAGCCTGCTCGCACGAGATTTTACTGATTCATGCGTGAGTCCATTGGTATTGACAAAATATCGCTCTGACGTGTTAGGAATTCGTGCTTGCACGAGATTCTTGGTGTGCTAATGCCTGCTTCACGGGCTTGACAACGAGACTAGAACAGAACCCAAGTGCCAAATGCATGTGACCTTAGGACGTGGTACATTTGCAGACATTTCGAGCCTGGGCGAATGTGGAGTGGGATTTAGCGTCAAACGGGATTGAACCTGCTTCGAGCCCGGCTCTGCTGGTGGGGAGATAGCGTGGCAATGATATTCGCTAGACATAAATGGAAACGACCTGCACTCAGCGAAAATCTACATGATAAACCTCTCGTACACATGCAGAGTTTCGCACATCCTGTGAACATGTTTGGACGAATGACGAAACGCCTTGTGAAGTTACTGGACTGGAATTTTTCCACAACACAAAACGCATCGAGCCTGCGGTCGAGCGTGAGGCTCGATGCGGAAAATTGGGTTTCCAGACTCACAAAAATAGGTTTGAAATTTCCGATAAGAACTTCGAGGATCCCATCTTTTGAGTTAGGCTCGATCTTGAACCATTGTCTTCAGGCCAAATGTTTCACGGCCTTCAGTTCACAGCACCATGGGAAACATTCAAGTATTGAGTGCCTCGATTTACTCTATGCGTTGAGTGTTACATCCTGATTGTGTGACAACTTCTTATTGCATTATTATTACCTACCTACTTCTTTTACAGCAACAAAGCAGAAATTTACTTGTATAAATTATTTTCCCAATAAAAAATCATCATCGTTGGCTTACAATGTATTCATCTGTTTTCCTCGGGATACAACAGAATAAGCAGTACATACTATCACAAAAGTGCTAACCAATTCACTTCGTTGTACAAGCGGGATCTGCATAACGGTCACACAAAACTTCCGGCTAGACTGAGCCACCAGTCTTACGAGAATCGGACGGTAGCTAGGCGTGTCCTTATCCTAGGGATGCTTGCATCTCATGGCTGGCATTCAACGATCCAGCGGGCGACTTTTCAACCGCCTTGAAAATGCCGCTTCCCAAACCGCCAGCTCTATTGTGACCCGAGGTTTCGGTGTTCCCAAGGGAAAGCAGTCTCTAGGTAACCAGACACAGCCGTTTCGTCAAGCCAAACGGTCATGGCTTGGTTCACAATCAGTTCTAACGAGCGCGTCAGGAGGCCGATGGAGGATTCCGTTACGGTGGCTCGGCCAATTGTTCGCCCAGGCTATTGTGATTATAGCGGTGGCTCAATTCGTGCACGTCGCCACGCTGTCGAGTTCCCGATGCAGCGGCGATCTAAATTCGCTAGAAGGAAAGCAAGGGTCGGGAACGTGGAGATTTCCAGGTTCATCTCAGCCGTTGATTCAGAGATCACAGGACAGATCGGCTGATCTGGAGCTCGACTTACCTTGGCGGTGCAGACGGGTACTGAGCAGTGCGACAATCGGTGGTAACGGTTCTGTGGTAACCAGCTCACCGTACGAAACAGCCAATGTTACAAGTAACGCATTGCCAGCTGGTACTGTGTCTTGCCAAAGAAAGCTCCGCGCAGCGCTGCAGAAGTGGGCGAAAGAAGCAGCGAAACGAGACTTCGTGAGCAGCAGTAACCACGGCGGCCGTAGCGGGGCTCTCAAAAGCGAGGACAATCCTCACTGGGAGTTTAACCAATCACGTTCGGCAGAAATCCAACTGGATGCAGTTCAAGCACGTGGCGACCTGGGCCACGTTTGCTCTCCTGGTTGGCTGAATGGCGTCATGGCTCGTTTACCTACAAGCAAGTACATGATCTCGTCGCTGAAGCGTAATAATCTTACACGGGAGAGCATCTTAGCGGGGATAAGATCTACATGTGATGAAATCAGAGCGGTGGAGAGTGGTTTGATCAATAGCATCGTGTCAACAAACAGGACTGGTCAGACCAACCGTGGTATAGGAGACATCTCTAGTCTTAGCAGCAGGAGCAGCAGCGGCGGCAGCAGCAGGAGCAGCGGCGTCGGCGGGAGCAGCAATAGCAGCAGTGGTGGTAGTAGTGACTATAACGGGGGAGCAGAATGGCCCGAAGCATGCTGGCCCATCCCTGGCGTGCCGTTTAACAATTACTCGGTAATTGCTCCCCACTTTGCGACACCCCACATTCTCAAACCCCACATTCCCAACCCAAACCCCGCATTCCTACACCCCACATTCACGCAGTACGGTCCACAATTCCTCCTCTCTGTTGCTATTATCCTCATTCTCTTTCTCTTTTCTCTTCTCCAAAAAAAAAAAATACTTGGCACAGCCCCCTCCCTCTCCCCCTCCACCCCACACCTCCGTCCCCCTCTCAACTCATTATTGCCCCTGCTGCAGCCCCTCTCCCAGCGCCGCTACCTGGTGCTGGCGGCAGTAGCGGAGCAGCTGAGCAGGCAACCATTACCCCCCTCTCCCGCGCCTTCTCTCCTCTTTCCTGCCCTCTCTCCTGCTTCCTGCCCTCTCTCCCCGTTGCTGCAGCCCTTCTCCCAGCGTCGCTACCTGGTGCTGGCGGCAGTGACAGAGCAGCTGAGCAGGCAACCATTATTCCCTCCTCCCCCGCCTTCTCTCCTCTTCCCTGCCCATTACTGCAGCCCTTCGCCAAGCGGCGCTACCTGGTGCTGGCGGCAGTGACAGAGCAGTTGAGCAACGCGCGGGTTCACCTGGTGGAGGCGGCCAGGCTGGCACAGCGGACAGGGCGGATCCTCGTGCTGCCTAAGGTGAGGGAGAGTCTCACGTTGCTGTGTTGTGACCAATAGGGCCTGTAGCAGCTGATCAACGCGCGGGACCACCTGGTGGAGGCACGTGTATGAAGAAGTGTTTTGAGACGTCTCAAAACACTTCTTCATACACCTGGTGCTGCCTAACGTGAGGGAGAGTCTCACGTTGCTGTGACCAATAGGGCCTGTAGCAGCTGAGCATTGTGCGGGACCACGTGGTGGAGGCGGCCAGGCTGGTGATGAGATGAGAACAGGGCGGATCTATGGTGGTGATGACAAGGTGACTTTTGATTCGACTCCATAGGCACCTCGACTCAAAATTCAGGGCAGATCGATCTTCATGGTGACGAAGGGATAGTTCTCATGGTTGTGCAAACAAGCTTACTCGGTGTTTCTTGATTTCTCTCCTCTCTCTCCCTTCCTCTTTTCCTCGTTGTTTCCACCCACTGTCACCCCCAGGGAGCCAACAGCCGCATCTCCCTCGGCCTCCCCCTCCCATTTAGAGTTTTCCTCTCTCTGATTTTCTCTCTCACTCCCCCATTGTTTCTTCCCACCCTCTGCCACCCCAGGGAGCCAACAGCCGCATCTCCCTCGGCCGGCCCCTCCCCATCTGCTCCTACTGGGACATTTCCCGCTTTACCCCGTACGAGTGGGTGTCTCCGGAGTTCTACCTCCTCGCAGCGCGGGCCACCCTCGCGCGCCCGTCCGTGGGGTTCGTGTGGGTGCAATCGCCCAACATGATCGTGAAAGGGCCGTTCCAAGCGGGGATGGTGGTGGGGGTGGGGAGGAACGCGGGGGTGGGGGGCAACGCGGGGATGGGGGGGAAGGAGGGCGTGGGGGGGGACAGGGGCGTGGGGGGGGACAGGGGAGTGATGGCGCCGCTGCTGGTGCATGCGCTGGGGCATGTGCCATGCGCCAGCAACACTCTGGATGTGACCATGCCTGCTCGCAGCGACGCCATTATCAACATGCTGCATGCGTGGTGAGCGGTGGGGATGGGTGCAGGTGGGTGGGACGGGGATGGTGTCAGACGCCCATCCGTGGGGTTCGTGTGGGTGCAATCGCCAAACACGGCCGCGAAAGGGCCGTTTCAGGCAGGGATGGTGATGGGGGTGGGGCGGGACAGGGGAGTGATGGCGCCACTGCTGGTGCATGCGCTGGGGCATGTGCCGTGCGCCAGCAACACTCTGGATGTCGCCATGCCTGCTCGCAGCAACGCTGTTATCAACATGCTGCATGCGTGGTGAGCGGTGGGGATGTTTTTGCAACCTGTGAGCCATGCAGGAGGGACAAGGACGTAATTGTGTGGATGAAGCACCGCCTCTCGCAGTTGGACTGGCCCCATCTCCATCCCCATTCCCATCCCCATCCCATCCCATCCCCATCCCCATCCCCATCCCCATTCCCATCCCCATCCCCATCTCCATCCCCATCCCCATCCCCATCCCCATCCCCATTCCCATTCCCATTCCCATCCCCATCCCCTCAGACCGCATTGCCCTTCCTCTACTCTACTCTCTCTTACGCGTCTTGTGCAACTTGCAACCTGTCAATCATCCAGGTGGGATAAGGACGTGATTGTGTGGGTGAAGCACCGCCTTTCTTGGGTGGACTTCCCCATCCCCTCAGACTCCCTGGCTTGCTCAGACTCCCTGGCTTGCTCAGACTCCCTGGCTTGCTCAGACTCCCTGGCTTGCTCAGACTCCCTGGCTTGCTCAGACTCCCTGGCTTGCTCAGACTCCCTGGCTTGCTCTCTTCTCCCATACACTCTCTCACGCCACTCCCACTTGTGACTCTTTCTCTGCAATTTAAACCCAACCCCTGCGTTCATCCAGGAGGGACAAGGACGTCATTATATGGGTGAAGCATGGGCCGTCGCGAGTGGACTTCCCCATCCCCTCCACTCCCTGGTCCGCTCTCTGCTCCCATACACTCACTCACGCCACTCCCACGTGTCTCCCTTTCTCTGTGATTCCAACCAACCCCTGGTTCATCCAGGAGGGACAAGGACGTCATTATATGGGTGAAGCATGGGCCGTCGCGAGTGGACTTCCCCATCCCCTCCACTCCCTGGCCCGCTCTCTGCTCCCATACACTCACTCACGCCACTCCCACGTGTCTCCCTTTCTCTGTGATTCCAACCAACCCCTGGTTCATCCAGGAGGGACAAGGACGTCATTATATGGGTGAAGCATGGGCCGTCGCGAGTGGACTTCCCCATCCCCTCCACTCCCTGGCCCGCTCTCTGCTCCCATACACTCACTCACGCCACTCCCACGTGTCTCCCTTTCTCTGTGATTCCAACCAACCCCTGGTTCATCCAGGAGGGACAAGGACGTCATTATATGGGTGAAGCATGGGCCGTCGCGAGTGGACTTCCCCATCCCCTCCACTCCCTGGCCCGCTCTCTGCTCCCATACACTCACTCACGCCACTCCCACGTGTCTCCCTTTCTCTGTGATTCCAACCAACCCCTGGTTCATCCAGGAGGGACAAGGACGTCATTATATGGGTGAAGCATGGGCCGTCGCGAGTGGACTTCCCCATCCCCTCCACTCCCTGGCCCGCTCTCTGCTCCCATACACTCACTCACGCCACTCCCACGTGTCTCCCTTTCTCTGTGATTCCAACCAACCCCTGGTTCATCCAGGAGGGACAAGGACGTCATTATATGGGTGAAGCATGGGCCGTCGCGAGTGGACTTCCCCATCCCCTCCACTCCCTGGCCCGCTCTCTGCTCCCATACACTCACTCACGCCACTCCACGTGTCTCCCTTTCTCTGTGATTCCAACCAACCCCTGGTTCATCCAGGAGGGACAAGGACGTCATTATATGGGTGAAGCATGGGCCGTCGCGAGTGGACTTCCCCATCCCCTCACACTCCCTCCCTGGCCTGACCCCTGCGTTAATGCAGGAGGGACAAGGACGTCATTGTGTGGGTGAAGCATGGGCCGTCGCGAGTGGAGTTCCCCATCCCCTCAGACCGCATTGCGCTGCACCACCTGCCCTACAGCACCCCTCTGCACCGCACTGCACAGCGCATTGTTGCCAGCCTGCCCAAGCCCCTCATTGCCGTGCATTACCGCTCCGAGTGGATCGCCTACAGAGTGGTGAGTGGTGGTGACTGGTGATGGGGGGTGGTGAATGGTGAGTGAGTGGTTGTTGTTAGAGCGATGATAAATGCTGTTGAAGCAGGGCACAGCACAGCATATCGTTCCCCGCCTGCCCAAACCCCTCATTGCTGTGCATTACCTCTCCGAGTGGATCGTGCACAGAGTGGTGAGTGGTGAGTGGTGAGTGATCGACTCAAAACTGTGCATTACCGCTCCTAGTAGATTGCATAGAGGGGTGGTGGGTGGTGAGAAATGGTGGGTGATGGTGAGTAGTGGTGGTGAGTGGCGTCTTTGAATGACTTGCACATTGAGTGGTGGTGTGCTGTCTGGAGAGCTAAGATGGTTCATTTTTTAGGCGCCTCAACACTTGACTCGCACATTGAGTGGTGGTGTGCTGTGCGGTCTGGAGAGCTAAGATTGTTCATAGAAAGCCGCTGCCTTGATCCCTTCCGTATGTGATGAGACGATTTTCGAGTCAACTAAATGGTCGTCTCACCACACGTGGTGGTGTGCTGTGCTGTCTGGAGTGGAGAGGCAACGGTATTTATGGAAAGCCACTGCTTTGATTCCTTCCGTATCGTCAGACTCACCACAGGCAAGGACGATTGGCAAGGCGCCGTACGGGCAGAGCGGCGTGGGGAAGGGCATGCAGCTGATGCGGTGGTGTGCAACCGTGTCATCCCACTCTCGCAGGCAAGGACGATTGGCAAGGTGCCGTACGGGCAGAGCGACGTGGGGAAGGGCATGCAGCTGAAGGCATGGCTTGATCTGTCCTTCCCCCTGCCGTGATCCACACCCAACCGTGTCATCCCACTCTCGCAGGCAAAGACGATTGCAAAGGCGCCGTACGGGCAGAGCGACGTGGGGAAGGGCATGCAGCTGATGCGGTGGTGTGCAACCGTGTCATCCCACTCTCGCAGGCAAGGACGATTGGCAAGGTGCCGTACGGGCAGAGCGACGTGGGGAAGGGCATGCAGGTGAAGGCATGGCTTGATCTGTCCTTCCCCCTGCCGTGATCCACACCCAACCGTGTCATCCCACTCTCGCAGGCAAAGACGATTGCAAAGGCGCCGTACGGGCAGAGCGACGTGGGGAAGGGCGTGCAGCTGATGCGGTGGTGTGCGGAGCAGGCAGTTCACACCATCCTGCAGGCTCAGTGCAACTGCAGTGCTAACAGCAGCACCAACAGCAGTGCCAACAGCAGTGCCAACAGCAGTGCCAACAGCAGTGCCAACAGCAGTGCCAACAGCAGTGCCAGCAGCAGCACCAACAGCAGTGCCAACAGCAGCGCCAGCAGCATCGCCGCATCTGTCTACATCGCAGCCGACGTTCCTTCCACTGCACCCGTCCCTTCTCCTACCTACCCCTCCCTGGATAGTCATTTGAAAACGAGTCATCTTCCAGATAGCCCTTCCCCAGATACCGCCTCCTTGGAAGGCTCTTCTGTGAAAGCCCCTTCCCCAGGTGGCCCTTTGGACCATGGGTCTTCCACCCTGGCCATGTCTCACGGCACCATACACTCTGCCTCCTGGGCTAGCACCATAGGTGCATACGGAGGCGTGGGGAATGAGCGAGAGAAGCTTGTGGACGCGGCAGTGCAGGGGTTGCAGTTAATGAGGCGGTCTATAACGGGGACGGTGATGATAGAGGAGCTGCTCCCAGAAGCCGGTTCATATGACCCTGGTGAGTGCCTTTGGCGTGCATGCTGAGAGCATGAGATTTTAAACGTCTCACAACTCTGAGTTTCTTTATTTCTCAAAAGGGGACGGTGATGATAGAGGAGCTGCTCCCAGAAGCCGGTTCATATGACCCTGGTGAGTGTCGTTGGCGTGCATGCTGAGACCTCAAAAAGCCACCTGAAATATGGTTGGTTTTGAGACGTCTCATCTCAACACCTACCTTTCTTGAGGGGACGGTGATGATAGAGGAGCTGCTCCCAGAGGCCGGTTCATACGACCCTGGTGGGTGTCATGGGCTTGCTTGCTGAGATGCTGCCTTTGCTGTTGAGTCGAGGTGTATTTTGAGTGAGTCGACTCAAAACACACTTGAGTCAACTCAAATATGAAGCTCAAAGATTTGAGACGTCTTGAAACTCAAAATCCATGTGTCCTGGTTGTTGCTTTTGTCTTCTGCTTGGGCATGCTGCTGCATGTTGCATACTGCATACTGCATGTTGCATGTTGCATACTGCATACTGCATGTTGCATACTGCATACTGCATGTTGCATACTGCATCCTGCATGTTGCATACTGCATACTGCATGCTGCATGCTGCATGTGAGCTGAGCCTTCCTTTCTTGCTGTGATTCTATCAGCAGGTTTCAGCTGCAAGAATCACTCAACAGGCATGTTGTTTCACCGAGGGAAAGCTGTTGTATCTCTATTGGCATTTCCACGAGTTTGGTCTGATGTGTAACTCTGTGTGGTTCGAGTGCGTGCAGGACTGCTGGCAATTTTGGATAAGCTGGTTTGTGCACAAGCGGATTATTTCATTGGAGGCACTGTGGTTTGTGGGGGGAGAAGAGGTTTTGAAAGTGACATTCTCCAGCATCGAGCTCTTATAAAGAACATTACACAAGAGAGGGATCTCAGATGGGGCACTGAAGATCCTCCATTGGAGCTACAATGATATGAGATGCATTATGGTTTTGACGACTATGTTTTAGAATGCTATGTATTACTTAGGGCGTGTTCCTACGGCCTCATATCAGGAAACCTCGTATCAAGAATGTACTTTTTGCCTGGTAAAACTAGTGAGAGGTCTTGGGTTTAGGGGAATTTTCAGTGTGAGCCTGATACGAGGTTGTCTTGATACGAGGATAGGAACACGCTCTTATTGGAGTGAAGCACATGTTTTCCACAGCCTTGATATAGCATACCCGTAACCTCTTGGAAAAAAAAGTAGATAACCAACTTGGGGCACCCTTCTTTTTTCTTCTGGGTAAATCAAGTTGTCACCCTAGATGTGGGCTTGTATTGCATCGATATTCTATTTGACTTGAGGTAGCACACGCGTGTACAATATCTCTGTTATGTAATTTGTCCGTTTCGCGCGCTTGTTGCGATTTACGGGTTACCAGACTTCGTTTCTTCTCATCCACATTTGATGACTGGAGCGGAGCGACGTATTCGATACATGCACACATCCTCTACAGTCTCTGGTGCAGAAAATTCTCCCCCTGGTCAAGCCCTTGAACCAGGCATGACCCGCAACCTTGCTTGTTGAAAGTGCGGTTCATTTTCGATCAGGAGGTGCCCCTCCGAACCGAAGGTTCCACCTTTGAAGCGGGTTCTACACGGTTCAGTTTGAATCCGCGTTCGTTCAGTCCGGTAGAAAGCGCGTTTGTTCAAATCAGAACAGAATTCACGTAATGAAAATACTGTACACGGTGTTCGCAGACACAGAGCCACACACAAACACCACCCAACAAGATCCAATTCCATCTCCTCCACCCCCACCATCCACCCACACCCCTGATTACTCCAGCCTTCCTCCGCCACCGATTTTGCCTCTTCAAACCTCTTCCTGTACTGCTAGCCTTTGGCCTCTAGGGTTTGGATTCTAGACCCGTATTGCGGCTCGTCCAAGCACAGCCTTGCTTTGCGGTCAGGGCTGTGTAACCCAGGCTGATTCATTGCGTTAGATCCTGCATTGTCGGCGTGTTCCTTAATCGGGCGTGTTCTTAATCCTGCATTGGCTTCGACTGAAAGGATCGATGGTTGCGTTTTAGAAGCGGTTGTTGCTGGTGCCAGCAGAAAGGTTTCTGTCTTCCGTTACTGAATGTGCTGCTGCCTCCAGATAAGCCACAATGGAGGCGGACCTAACGAATATGATCGACATCGACATACGGTGCGCCGGCAATGTGTTGGGAACGGTGGTGATCGATAAAGAATGGTCGCTATCTGCTGTGCGGACGGAGATCTTTGCCGTTTTCCCAGGAACGGCTCCAGAGGAGTTTGAGTTTTGGATCCACGGTCCAGGTGAGGAGCCGAAGAAAATCTCGCATCGTCGGGAACCGCATATTTCGGCTGCAGATTTCATGCCTCCTAAAGAATTGGAGATTAGAGCTTTAGACGACTGAGGGTTATCTGTTGGTCGTTATTTACACGCGCGCTCGCTTGTAGGGGAATTTTAGCTGGGGTTTTCCAAGTCGCCTCAAGCGATGTGAATCCACATTAGCATAGGAGGCGAGTTAATGCCGTTCGCGTCTTAGTAAATTTTATGATTTTAGTAATCTTTTGACTTCAATAGTTTTCTGGTGGTTTTTGCCAAAAGGGTACTGGTATCTAAATACCCATTGCATAAAATTCTTTATCTCCCAATGAGAACTGCCGAGTGCTATCTGATAAGCTACAACGGTAGGTGATGCTTAGCTACAGTAATTGTGGTTGTTCTTTGTTCATCAGCTACAGGGCATGCTGCACATTTAGAAGAATGATATTGATAAGCAACTGAATGCTTGTGCACTGCATTTTCACATGCATTGCAGTGCAACACAGCAGCAATCCAAAACGAGCTGTACATGGAGAAAAATGGTGTTGCAGATGGATGCTGTAGGAGCTTCTGTATGTAATGAGGAAAACCCATCACATTAGGGAGCCAGGCTGAGTTGTGAGGATGGAAAGCACTGCTACGGTACATGTCCACCATTACTCAGCAAATGAGACGCCCTGTTTCAAGATGGCTACACATAACCAACCACAATGTGAGCATCACAGGAATACCGTAATAAGGTGGCAGTGTGACAGATTAGTGCTGCTAAACTTGCTACCTAACCAGCACTACAAATCTACGATTCATCAGACTGGACATTTTTGTTGGAGCTAATACTCGGCCACATACAGGCTTCGCGTTTTTTTTTTTAGGCGCCTACAAAAAGCACTATGAATCATCAGCTTGTGCATCTTTCTTGGAGCGGAAACTCGGCCACATAGGCTTCATGTTAGCAAGCCCACCCCACCGCTTGCTCCCACTACCCGAATCCACACTTCCACCTCCCCCACCAATGTCACCACCACCACCACCACCACCTCCAAAAGCGCCAAAACCACCAGCGTATGACCGTCTCCTGTTGCGAGAACTTTCAGAATTTCTTTTGTCTGGGGTTGCGAAGGAGCGCCGCCGGCCTATGGCTGCTAGAGACAGCCTGTGCTCGAACGCCACGTGAGGAGTGCTTTCACCAGCGGTAACAGCTGCACTGGCGGCTGCAGCAGGAGTGGCAGCAACAGCAGCAGCAGGAGAAGGAGCAGGAGCAGCAGCAGGAGAAGGAGAAGCAGAAGCTGCAGTGTTCTCCCCGCCGACCTCCAAATCTGCCACCTCACTGGTTGTCATGCCTTCAACTGCAGTGCTGCTTTTGAACATCGTCCGAGGCGACTCCACAGGTTCGGTTGCAGTGCTGCTTCGGAAGATGTTCCATGCGCCGCGCAGCATCGGCGAGAGAGGCTTGGAGAAGGTCCGGCGGAATTTGGAAGCGTCCTTGGCGGTGGATCCCTGTGAACTACCTGCCTCAGTGCCAGATGCACTCCTTTCCACACCTCCCACACCCCCCACACCCCCCACAACCCCCACAACCCCCACACCTGGAGATGCACCTAATAAATCACTGCCGCCAAAATTGCTGCCGCCAAAATCACCAAGATTAGTAGCCGAAGTGGCAGCAACAGCTGCAGCATCTGTGGCTGGTTTTCTCGCTGGTCCCTCAGCTCCTGCTGAGCTGGCATGTGCAGAAAGCTCGGGTATGCTGATCTCATTCTCAAAGACGATAGGGCGTGTAGAGAAGCCTGCAGCACCACCTGCTAAGCCTCCTGCCGAGCGTCCTGCCAAGCCTCCTGCCAAGCCTCCTGCCAAGCCTCCTGCCAAGCCTACTGTGGGATTCGCAGCTGAAACCGTGTCTCCTGATGCTACTGTTGACACCATCGGTCCTGCCACTGCCGCTTGACCCCAAGCTGGTGCCACGGTTAGTGCCGAGGGGTGGCAGCGCGGGAGAGAGGAAGAGGGGGACGGCGACAGGAAGGAGGAGAGAGGAGTGACAGAGCTAGCAGCATTGGAAGGAGAGCAGGTGGGACCACCAGGACGGCCTAGGGGGGCTAGACCCTGGCCCTGTGAGTGAGGAAAACCGTGCTGCTGCTGCTGCTGCTGGTGTTGCTGCTGATGATGCTGCTGCTGCTGCTGTTGCTGATGCTGCTGGTAGTGTTGATGCTGCTGCATCTGTTGCAATCCCCCACCTGCCCAACCCCCCCCTGCGTTCCCTGCCCCCGCGGCCGCCCCTCCTGCTCCCCCACCACCACCAGCTGCCGCAGCAGAGACAGCAAGAGATGGCGGCGACAACTGCAGCAGCTTCAGCCGCTGTGCCGAAGGCCTCCCAGCATGCATGCCTATCCCCATGCCCATCCCCATGCCCATCCCCATCCCCATCGCTCCACTCATCACCACACTCTTAGAAAACACATCCCCTGCCGCTCGGGAAAACGCCCGAGACCTGGTAGAGACCACAGGGCTTCCCAAGCCATACATGAGGCCTGAATTGGAGGGAGGAAAGTCGCACCACAGGTCCTCGTCCTCACTCCCTACTGAATCCGCCTCCCCACTCCCACTCCCGCTGCTACACCTACCAACTCTCCCATCCCCTCCCCTGCTGCCGTTACAGGCGCCACCACCACCACCGCCACTGCCACCGCCGAGGGAATATGCTGAACCGCTAGTCCTGTTCTCCCCCACGGACGAATCTCCACCGTCCGTCTCTCTCCAAAACAGCAGATCCTCGCCGACCGATTTGCTCCGACGCCGCCTCACCTGCGGCGGCTGACCTCTCGCCCTCCTCCTCCCCACCAGCGCTTCCCCCAAATCCCCATCCTCCACATCCCTTAACGCGTCAGAAACCTCACTCATAAGACTCTCTCTCGCACTTAGCGCCTTCTTTCCGGTACTTATACTCATCCCCACTGCTGCCCCCGACCCATCGGCATCCCTATCCGAATCCCCGCCCCCTCCTGCTCCCCCCTCGCCTGCCTGCGTGTCTGCCAGCGCAGGATTCGTTATAAGCCGCTTCGTTAGAAGGTACGCGTGCGGCGCGTCTGGATAGAGGTCCATACGCGGTTTAGGCAGGAGCTTGCCCCGAACAACCCACACTAGGTACTCTAAATGCGGCCCCAGTAGCTCCTGGTATAGGGCGGCGGAGTGGCAGGATGATCTCGACCGTTGGATGGGCCTGAGGAACGGCTGAGATGCAAAATTGGGTTCCACAGCCTGTTCCCTTGCCTGCTGACTGTCACTAACTTTTCGGCTCTCTTGCTGCTCCTCTGTGATTGGTTCGGCCATAGCAGCTGCACTAACTGCTGTATCTGCAACACCTACAATCGTAGCAGCTACACTGGTAACCGCTGCTGCATCTGTAACGTCTACACTCATGACAGATGCACTGGCAATGGCTACAGTGCTAACTGTTTCACTGTTGACTGCTGCACTGTTGACTGCTGCACTGTTAACGGCTGCACTGGTAACTGCTGCACTGGTAACATCCACACCAGTGCCTGGCGCACCTGCAGTGGAAATCTCAGCTTGGTCCTGCATCACCTCTTGTGCCTCGGCCAAGACTTCTTGAGCAGCATCCGAGCCAGACGCGTCTTGAGCAGCTTCAGAAGACTTTTGAGACATCTCAAAAGTGGAAATCTCAGCTCGGTCCTGCATCACCTCTTGTGCCTCGGCCAAGCCTTCTTGAGCAGCATCCGAGCCAGATGCGTCTCCATCCACCCCAGAGGTTCGCCCTTCATCCTGCATCACCTCTTGTGTCTCAGCCGAGCCTTCTTGAGCTGCTTCAGAAGACTTTTGAGACATCTCAAAAGTGGAAATCTTATCTCGATCCTGCAGCACCTCTTGTGCCTCGGCCGAGCCTTCTTGAGCAGCATCCGGAGCAGACGCTCCATCCAATCCGGAGATTCGTCCCTCGCCTTGCAACAGCTCTTGTGCCTCGGCTGAGCACTCTTGAGCCGAGTTTTGAGTCGACACAAAATCCGCCTCGGCCGAGCCTTCTTGAGCAGCATCCGTAGCCGACGCTCCATCCAATCCGGAGATTCGTCCCTCGCCTTGCAGCGGCTCGTGGGTGCCCTCTCGTTCCAATCCTGAGCTCTGGTCTTGGCCCGGCGGCTGCTCTTGTACCCGGGCCTGTGCCGAACCTTGGTCGTACTCCAGGCTCGGCAGCCAATCAAAGACGGGCAGAGGGAGGTCCAGAGAGGGGTGGGGTAGCAAGCAGGAGAGGAAGGCTTGGCGCACGTGGGCGAGAAGGGAGAAGGCGTGGGGGCGGGCGAGGGAACAATCAGTCATGGCGAAGGGGACCAGGCCGTCTGAAGCGGGAGAAAAGAGCAGATTGGTGCGCCCGTAGCCCTGAAGGTGGTGGGAAGGGGGCGAGAGAGAGGTGGGAAGGGGGGAAGAGAGAAAAACATTTGGGAGAGGGAGCAATCGGTCATGGCGGAGGGGACCAGGCCGTCAGGGGCGGGGGAGAAGAGCAGATTGGTGCGCCCGTAGCCCTGATGGAGGCGAGGGGAGATGGTGGGGGGGTGGATGGGAAGGGGTGGAGAGAGGCAAGCAAGCGGGCGAGGGAGCAGTGGGACATGGCGAAGGGGACCAGACTGTCAGGGGCGGGGGAGAAGAGCAGATTGGTGCGACCGTAGCCCTGGGAGGGGGCGAAAGGGGGTTGGGGAAGAAGGGAGTGTGGAAGGTAAAAAGAAGAGGAGCAAGCAAGTGGGCGAGGGAGAAATCGGTCATAACGAAGGCGACCAGGCGGCCAGGGGCAGGCGAGATGAGCAGGTCGGTGGGTGCGCCCGTAGCCCCCAGGGAGAAGGGGGGGGGACGGAGGGTGGGATCGGAGCAAGTAGCGCAGGCAGGAAGCAAAAAGGAGAGGGGTGGCGCGGAACTGGGGTGAGGAGAGCAGGAGGGTTTCTAGGCGGGATTGTCATGGTGCATAAGTTCTGAGAGGGTGTGAAGAATGGAAGAGGAGGGGGGAGGAGAATGGCAGAGAGGGGGGGAGGAGAATGGCAGAGGGGGGGGGAGGAGAATGGAAGAGGGGGGGGGAGGAGAATGGAAGAGGGGGGGGGAGGAGAATGGAAGATGGGAGGGGAGGAGAATGGAAGAGGGGGGGGGAGGAGAATGGGAGAGAAGGATCGGAGGGACCACGGCAGAAAAGGCTGGGCGGAAAGAATGGGAGAGAGAGAAGAATGAGAGTGGAAAATGGGGAGAAGAACGAGAGAGAGAAGAATGGAGGAGAGGAATGGGAGCGGAGAGGAATTGGGGAGAAAGAATGGGGTGGGAAAAATGGGGGAGAAGAATACGAGAGAGAGAGAGCGAGAGAGAGAGAGAGAGAGAGAGAGAGAGAGAGAGAGAGAGAGAGAGAGAGAGAGAGAGAAGAGAGAGAGAGAGAGAGAGAGAGAGAGAGAGAGAGAGAGAGAGAGAGAGAGAGACAGAGACAGAGAGAGCCTGCGTGCACCAGAAGGGGCAATGAGAGGTCATAGGCAGGCAAAATGTGGCCGTGGGGATGGGAAACGGGGGAAGCGGAAAGCGTAGAGGCTAGTGAATTGACTTTTGAGTCGATTTCCCAGTGATGACACACCCGGCTCATCACACCCCATGTAAAGTGCACTTCCTTATAGCCATCCCGTAATCGCACCAACCTAAGCCTGACAAATTACCAGGTTCAAACAAACCATTGGTGCGTACCAGCGAGTATCTGCTGACGTGGCATGGCAGCTCCAGAATCACAGCAGAAAGCAAGGTTCCGAGAACCTTCATCTGCTTCCCATGATCCACAAGAACCGTGCCGTCCGACCGCCGACCAATCCCCACGTAGAACACCAGCTGCGCCTGCCCGTCCTTCGCGCCGGCACTCCTCTTCCCTCCGCCGCTTTTCACGCCGCTCCCGTCGCCGTCGCCGCGACCTCCACCGCGGCCGTCGCCGTCCTCGCGGGCGACGCTGCTTCTGTCGCCCCAAACGTCGTCTGCGACGGTGCCTGCTCGGCGAAACGCGGCTTCGTCGGTCGCAGCGGAGACGGACGATCGTCCGCAGGAGAGCGCGGAGAGCCGCGGAGGGGGGAACCTCGCCGCAGCCGCAGCTGCCGTCGCCTCCGCCGCTGCTGTCGCAGCAGTCGCGAATTTCGCTAATTTCGCCGTTTCTCCAGCACTCGGCGTGTCTAAGACAGAGTGGCTGGTTGACGGAAACCGAGATTCTCGGCACCCGTTGACGGAAAACGTCGAAGCAAACGACAGCACGGTAGCTCTCTGCGGCACCACTGACTGCTGCACCTTCGCGTTACTCCTGCGACTCATGCTGAAACTTTGGGATGCCGCGCAATTTTGTGCGATTCTATGCGACCCTATGCGACCCTAGGCGACGCTGGCAAACCCTCAGTACCAACACCGCGGCACTACAACTGATAGGCTTGGACGGAATTGGATTCACTTCTAAGAAAATTCGAAACTACTGACAGGCTTGGACGAAATTCGCACGTGGGTGCGGGAGGAACAGACGAGGGACCATAAATATGGACGCTAGTAACTATTATGTGTGCAGCGGAGGGTAACCATAAGACGTTCATAATGAGAGTCTCGTGGCAGAGTATAGTGATCCACGCCTCTCATTCATTAATCTACGCCCCGCATTCCGCGCTAAACCACGCTTTCTGCATCACTGAGAAGTGTCTCAACCACACAAAAGAATGGCTGGAGAAGGAAGGGAGCCATAAAAGAATGGGGAACTCAGGCACAGGGATTTGTTTCAATTCGAGTCTCAGATGATGCCGCAAAGAGTTCCCAGGAAAGTAGAACGTTGGGGGATGTGCAATCGACCTGGGATAAACCTGCTGGTTGTCGCGAGGAAGGTGAGCGATAGTTCGGTGATGTCGCATGCTACGGTTTGTGCTCTGAATTCTATCGCACTCTGAGACTCTGGAGGTTTTGCGAAGAACGAGAATGATGTTACCACCTGTAAAAGTCCGTTTTGCAGCGGGCAGGTCGGAGGTTCTATTTGTCGCCTTTCTGCTGCCTAATTACGTGCATAAACAGAACTGTAGCTGCCCGCCAAAATCATCAACACCAACCGTGGCAAGGAGACTCGTGTGCATCGTCGATTTTTGGGACGTAGATCGTGATCGTCGATCGGAGATAGCTTGACAAGCGAGACGACTTAGTTGCGTATCTCCACTCCACGGGCCGGTTGGGTCAAGGGGAAATGTTTCGTTTCGTGATTTCACATGTTCCGTCACTGTACGTAAACTCTTCGTTACAGTACGTACTTGTATCGAACAAAGAGGGCCATTCTTGACTAACTTTGAGCGAGGGTTTCTACACTGATTAAGAACATTACGGAGCGGTTAAGTAAGGTAGTATGACAAACAGCATTCCACACCGCTCATCCATCCGACCTCACACAACGGTGTCGTTCTGTAGGCACCTGAGATTGGGGGAGGAGGACACAGAAGGGAAATTAGGAGGGTTCCGAGGTGGGTTCCGAGGTGGGTTCCGAGGTGGGTTCCGAGGTGGGTTCCGAGGTCGATTTCCCCCCCCTGGGCAAACACCCGAGATGAGGAATTTCGGATTCTGGGGAGGTAGTTTCCGAGGGAAAATGACGAACTTCTCGCTGAATTTCTCGCGTCCAATGGACGGGTAAATCGTGACCATCGAATGCAGGACGAGGGTAATGTTTTGGGGCTGGGCGTTTTCAACATAAAAAACCCCAACATACAAGAGTGGTGAGCAGGCCGTCAGGGTTTTCACATTGGTGGTTGATGTGTGTTTTTCTTTTTCGATTTGAGATTTTCAACCCTGTTTGGGTTAGTGGCTGTACAGGGAAGCTTGTTTCTTGGGTGGGAGGCTGGTGTTCCCACGCCCAGCTCCTCCCTCCCGTCACCGTCGCACTTCCCCGTGAAGGGTGGGTGGCCGATGGCGGGGCGGAGGCAAATAAATTTGCCCGAGGAGGAAGGTGGTGAGGGGAAATAAGAACCTTCCTGGGGGTGCATTTCCCTGGAGGGAAATGACTGTTCTGCAGGCATTTCCCTTCGATTAGGTTCGGAAGGGAAATGACTGCCACGTCAGCCTTTTCGGGCTGACCGCCATTTCGAACCTAAAATTGCAGAGGCAGGCAGCTTCCTATTTTCCCTCCCCTTCCTCCGTCGTGCCTACAGAACAACGCCAACATGTCCACGAATGTGTCCAGCATCTCTGGTGAGAAGTACCCCCTTTGCAACGTCACCCAGAAAGAATTCAAAGGCGTGTACAAAGTGCTGCAAAAACTCGACTTCTAGGATGTCGATGAATCCTGACGGTTGAAATCGTTAATCCGAGGGTCGAAATGCATCAACATTCCTCAGACGTTCACTTTGTACACGCCTTAAAGTGAAACAAGGCAACAATCTAACCCTTGCATATGAAACGACAGATTCAGAAGACCCCACGACAGGGCGTGTTAGAAACTTAGCATCCCTCAAAAACCTACCCAACCGTTTTGATTCAGGTTAATTATTCTGTAACTCCAGAACCCTTCTTTTCCGAACACTGACTCCCATTCAGAGTATTGTTGGAAAACGAAGGTATTGGCCTATTCCGGGCCGCGCCTTATTACCTATCAAAAGTGCCTTCCTCTTCTCAAAAAGACCACCATTTCGTCGGCTAGTCATTTTCATCCTGCACGCATTGGAGTCGCGTCAAATAACTGGTCGATAAATAATGCCTCAGGTAAGATCAACGAGTTGGACGATTTTCGCACACTATTCGCGAATCGTTTCGGGACAGACATGGATCCTTATGTGAACAAGCTTATGACGACATGTTGTCAAACGTAATGACGAGATTATTATAGCGGATCATTTTCGTCTGACGGCGCACGCAGGCTTTACAGCGAGTCGTTTCGTGTCCGTTCATATCTTCAACGATCGATCCGTGCCTGACATGCAGGTTCGGCAGCTGGTTCGGGGTACAGGCAGCGAGGCGACCGCGAGCGCGTGGAACGGATCGCGAACGCGATGGGCGGCCGGCACGGCGGACGGCGCGCTGCAGATCTGGGAGCGCTGCGACGACGGCGCGGAGCGCGGCCCGCTGAGCCTTTCCGCGAGCTGGCAGCTGGGGGGAAGCGGCGGAGGGGAAAAAACAGGTGCGCGGATCGATGGAGATCAATTCGATTCGTTAAGGTTCGAATTCTAGGGGGATGGGGGAAAGGGGGAGGGGGTGGAAAGGGGGAAGTGAGGGAGAGGAGGCGGAACGAATGAACGGGGACGCGAGGAGTGAAGGGAAATGCATGAAGGAGATGTGCATGCACCTGTGCCAGTGACCCTCCCGTCCCCTCTCCCTCCCGCCTTTCCCCATACCCCACTTCCCCCCAGCAGCAGCAGCGCACGTGGTTTGGGCGCCACAGGAGTTCGGGGGGAAAGCTGGCTGTGGCGTGCAGGGGGGTTAGCCGCGTGCAGGGGGGGTAGCCGCGTGCAGGGGGGGTAGCCGCGTGCAGGGGGGGTAGCCGCGTGCAGGGGGGGTAGCCGCGTGCAGGGGGGGTAGCCGCGTGCAGGGGGGGTGCACGTGGGGTGGGCCTGTAGCATTTGGGCAACAAAGCCCTCTACCCGCGGCTCGCCCTCCTTTTCCCTTCCCCCTTCTCCCCCGCTTGCCCCCAGCAGCAGCAGCGCACGTGGTGTGGGCGCCACAGGAGTTTGGGGGAAAGCTGGCTGTGGCGTGCAGAGGGAGCGCACGTGGTGTGGGGTGGGCCCTGAAGCAGTTTGCAAACAATGCCCTTTAACCTGTCCGCCCTCCCCCGCTTGCCCACCGCAGCAGCAGCGCACGTCGTGTGGGCGCTACAGGAGTTCGGGGGAAAGGTGGCTGTGGCGTGCAGGGGGAGCAGCCGCGTGCATATCTGGGGGGAGGTTGGGGGCGCGGGGGACGGGGAGGATGGGCGGAACAGGGCCATGGGGGGGAACGGGGGGAACGGGGGGAGTGGGGGGAGTGGGGCCGGCAGGGAGGAGCCAAATGGGGAGATGAGGACTAGAGAAGGTGGGCATGGTGATACGGAAATGGGAGGAGGAGGAGGGGGTGGAAGGGGACGAGGGGATGCGGCTGTCCAATCAGGAGCAGGCGGAGGGGTTGAGAGTGGTGGTGTTGGTTACAGCAAGAGTGGGAGCGGTGGTATCCGGTGGAGGCAGGTGGCTGTGGTGGATGTGGGGAGCATGCTGCTGACTGCACTGAATGGAGCTGCTGCTGCTGCTGCTGCTGCTGCTGCTGCTGCTGCAGTCTCTACTGGTGCTGCTGGTGCTGCGTCGTCATCTGCTGCTGCTGTGTTGGCTCTGGCGTTTGTGCGGAGCACATTCACTGACCCGCTGCTGCTGGTGAGACTAACTGCACTTGGTGTTATGACTCAAGTGGCAGTGACTTGTACGCGAGTGACTTTGTAGTTGCCATGTGCCACTGCTGCGACTTTTGAGATGTGTCAAAAGTAATCTGCCACTGCTGCGTGCTCCTGCAGATGCAGCAGCAGCAGCAGAGGGGTGAATGGCGGTGCGTCATTGCACTTTTGAGGCGACTCAGAAGCTACTTTGCTCTCTCGTGTGTGCACCGCACCGCAACAACCACTGGCAGGTGGCAGCGACATCGGAGGGGCGAATGGTGGTGCATCGTTGCAACCACTGCCACTCACTCGTCCCTCAAGTCTCTCATGTGCGCGCGTGTGAATGTGTGTGTGTTTCCGGTGAATGTGCGTGTGCATGTGCTTGGTCACTCGTGTGTGTGCAACAACCAATGGCAGGTGGCAGTGACATCGGAGGGGCGGATGGTGGTGCATCGCTGCACTTTTTATGTAGCCACCAGCCACTCGAATAGTCACATAGTTGTTCACTCATGCGTGTGCACCAACCAATGGCAGGTGGCAGTGACATCGGAGGGGAGGATGGCGGTGCATCGCTGCAATGACTGCCTCGCCCTCTCTCAATGGTCTCTGGAGGTACCTCCCTCCATCTCCCCTCCTCCCTTTCCCTGTCCCCTTCCCTCTCCCCTCTCTCCTTCCTCTCTCCTCTCTCCCTCCTCGTTCACTCCTCTCACCCCACTTCTCCCTGGGCCGTCCTTTCCTTTCCACAATCCTCTCCCTGCCTCATCCCTCCCGTCCTGAGTGGAAGAGCTGAGGATGAGTGGAGGCCATCCTTTCCTTTCCACAATCCTCTCCCTGCCTCTTTCACTCCCACTCATCCTCACCTCTTCCATCCTTGCATTTCTAGATGCGTGCGTGCCTTCCATCAAGTTATGAGACGCCTCAAAACGTGCCTTCCATCAAGTTATGAGACGCCTCAAAACGTGCCTTCCATCAAGTTATGAGACGCCTCAAAACGTGCCTTCCATCAAGTTATGAGACGCCTCAAAACGTGCCTTCCATCAAGTTATGAGACGCCTCAAAACGTGCCTTCCATCAAGTTATGAGACGCCTCAAAACGTGCCTTCCATCAAGTTATGAGACGCCTCAAAACGTGCCTTCCATCAAGTTATGAGACGCCTCAAAACGTGCCTTCCATCAAGTTATGAGACGCCTCAAAACGTGCCTTCCATCAAGTTATGAGACGCCTCAAAACGTGCCTTCCATCAAGTTATGAGACGCCTCAAAACGTGCCTTCCATCAAGTTATGAGACGCCTCAAAACGTGCCTTCCATCAAGTTATGAGACGCCTCAAAACGTGCCTTCCATCAAGTTATGAGACGCCTCAAAACGTGCCTTCCATCAAGTTATGAGACGCCTCAAAACGTGCCTTCCATCAAGTTATGAGACGCCTCAAAACGTGCCTTCCATCAAGTTATGAGACGCCTCAAAACGTGCCTTCCATCAAGTTATGAGACGCCTCAAAACGTGCCTTCCATCAAGTTATGAGACGCCTCAAAACGTGCCTTCCATCAAGTTATGAGACGCCTCAAAACGTGCCTTCCATCAAGTTATGAGACGCCTCAAAACGTGCCTTCCATCAAGTTATGAGACGCCTCAAAACGTGCCTTCCATCAAGTTATGAGACGCCTCAAAACGTGCCTTCCATCAAGTTATGAGACGCCTCAAAACGTGCCTTCCATCAAGTTATGAGACGCCTCAAAACGTGCCTTCCATCAAGTTATGAGACGCCTCAAAACGTGCCTTCCATCAAGTTATGAGACGCCTCAAAACGTGCCTTCCATCAAGTTATGAGACGCCTCAAAACGTGCCTTCCATCAAGTTATGAGACGCCTCAAAACGTGCCTTCCATCAAGTTATGAGACGCCTCAAAACGTGCCTTCCATCAAGTTATGAGACGCCTCAAAACGTGCCTTCCATCAAGTTATGAGACGCCTCAAAACGTGCCTTCCATCAAGTTATGAGACGCCTCAAAACGTGCCTTCCATCAAGTTATGAGACGCCTCAAAACGTGCCTTCCATCAAGTTATGAGACGCCTCAAAACGTGCCTTCCATCAAGTTATGAGACGCCTCAAAACGTGCCTTCCATCAAGTTATGAGACGCCTCAAAACGTGCCTTCCATCAAGTTATGAGACGCCTCAAAACGTGCCTTCCATCAAGTTATGAGACGCCTCAAAACGTGCCTTCCATCAAGTTATGAGACGCCTCAAAACGTGCCTTCCATCAAGTTATGAGACGCCTCAAAACGTGCCTTCCATCAAGTTATGAGACGCCTCAAAACGTGCCTTCCATCAAGTTATGAGACGCCTCAAAACGTGCCTTCCATCAAGTTATGAGACGCCTCAAAACGTGCCTTCCATCAAGTTATGAGACGCCTCAAAACGTGCCTTCCATCAAGTTATGAGACGCCTCAAAACGTGCCTTCCATCAAGTTATGAGACGCCTCAAAACGTGCCTTCCATCAAGTTATGAGACGCCTCAAAACGTGCCTTCCATCAAGTTATGAGACGCCTCAAAACGTGCCTTCCATCAAGTTATGAGACGCCTCAAAACGTGCCTTCCATCAAGTTATGAGACGCCTCAAAACGTGCCTTCCATCAAGTTATGAGACGCCTCAAAACGTGCCTTCCATCAAGTTATGAGACGCCTCAAAACGTGCCTTCCATCAAGTTATGAGACGCCTCAAAACGTGCCTTCCATCAAGTTATGAGACGCCTCAAAACGTGCCTTCCATCAAGTTATGAGACGCCTCAAAACGTGCCTTCCATCAAGTTATGAGACGCCTCAAAACGTGCCTTCCATCAAGTTATGAGACGCCTCAAAACGTGCCTTCCATCAAGTTATGAGACGCCTCAAAACGTGCCTTCCATCAAGTTATGAGACGCCTCAAAACGTGCCTTCCATCAAGTTATGAGACGCCTCAAAACGTGCCTTCCATCAAGTTATGAGACGCCTCAAAACGTGCCTTCCATCAAGTTATGAGACGCCTCAAAACGTGCCTTCCATCAAGTTATGAGACGCCTCAAAACGTGCCTTCCATCAAGTTATGAGACGCCTCAAAACGTGCCTTCCATCAAGTTATGAGACGCCTCAAAACGTGCCTTCCATCAAGTTATGAGACGCCTCAAAACGTGCCTTCCATCAAGTTATGAGACGCCTCAAAACGTGCCTTCCATCAAGTTATGAGACGCCTCAAAACGTGCCTTCCATCAAGTTATGAGACGCCTCAAAACGTGCCTTCCATCAAGTTATGAGACGCCTCAAAACGTGCCTTCCATCAAGTTATGAGACGCCTCAAAACGTGCCTTCCATCAAGTTATGAGACGCCTCAAAACGTGCCTTCCATCAAGTTATGAGACGCCTCAAAACGTGCCTTCCATCAAGTTATGAGACGCCTCAAAACGTGCCTTCCATCAAGTTATGAGACGCCTCAAAACGTGCCTTCCATCAAGTTATGAGACGCCTCAAAACGTGCCTTCCATCAAGTTATGAGACGCCTCAAAACGTGCCTTCCATCAAGTTATGAGACGCCTCAAAACGTGCCTTCCATCAAGTTATGAGACGCCTCAAAACGTGCCTTCCATCAAGTTATGAGACGCCTCAAAACGTGCCTTCCATCAAGTTATGAGACGCCTCAAAACGTGCCTTCCATCAAGTTATGAGACGCCTCAAAACGTGCCTTCCATCAAGTTATGAGACGCCTCAAAACGTGCCTTCCATCAAGTTATGAGACGCCTCAAAACGTGCCTTCCATCAAGTTATGAGACGCCTCAAAACGTGCCTTCCATCAAGTTATGAGACGCCTCAAAACGTGCCTTCCATCAAGTTATGAGACGCCTCAAAACGTGCCTTCCATCAAGTTATGAGACGCCTCAAAACGTGCCTTCCATCAAGTTATGAGACGCCTCAAAACGTGCCTTCCATCAAGTTATGAGACGCCTCAAAACGTGCCTTCCATCAAGTTATGAGACGCCTCAAAACGTGCCTTCCATCAAGTTATGAGACGCCTCAAAACGTGCCTTCCATCAAGTTATGAGACGCCTCAAAACGTGCCTTCCATCAAGTTATGAGACGCCTCAAAACGTGCCTTCCATCAAGTTATGAGACGCCTCAAAACGTGCCTTCCATCAAGTTATGAGACGCCTCAAAACGTGCCTTCCATCAAGTTATGAGACGCCTCAAAACGTGCCTTCCATCAAGTTATGAGACGCCTCAAAACGTGCCTTCCATCAAGTTATGAGACGCCTCAAAACGTGCCTTCCATCAAGTTATGAGACGCCTCAAAACGTGCCTTCCATCAAGTTATGAGACGCCTCAAAACGTGCCTTCCATCAAGTTATGAGACGCCTCAAAACGTGCCTTCCATCAAGTTATGAGACGCCTCAAAACGTGCCTTCCATCAAGTTATGAGACGCCTCAAAACGTGCCTTCCATCAAGTTATGAGACGCCTCAAAACGTGCCTTCCATCAAGTTATGAGACGCCTCAAAACGTGCCTTCCATCAAGTTATGAGACGCCTCAAAACGTGCCTTCCATCAAGTTATGAGACGCCTCAAAACGTGCCTTCCATCAAGTTATGAGACGCCTCAAAACGTGCCTTCCATCAAGTTATGAGACGCCTCAAAACGTGCCTTCCATCAAGTTATGAGACGCCTCAAAACGTGCCTTCCATCAAGTTATGAGACGCCTCAAAACGTGCCTTCCATCAAGTTATGAGACGCCTCAAAACGTGCCTTCCATCAAGTTATGAGACGCCTCAAAACGTGCCTTCCATCAAGTTATGAGACGCCTCAAAACGTGCCTTCCATCAAGTTATGAGACGCCTCAAAACGTGCCTTCCATCAAGTTATGAGACGCCTCAAAACGTGCCTTCCATCAAGTTATGAGACGCCTCAAAACGTGCCTTCCATCAAGTTATGAGACGCCTCAAAACGTGCCTTCCATCAAGTTATGAGACGCCTCAAAACGTGCCTTCCATCAAGTTATGAGACGCCTCAAAACGTGCCTTCCATCAAGTTATGAGACGCCTCAAAACGTGCCTTCCATCAAGTTATGAGACGCCTCAAAACGTGCCTTCCATCAAGTTATGAGACGCCTCAAAACGTGCCTTCCATCAAGTTATGAGACGCCTCAAAACGTGCCTTCCATCAAGTTATGAGACGCCTCAAAACGTGCCTTCCATCAAGTTATGAGACGCCTCAAAACGTGCCTTCCATCAAGTTATGAGACGCCTCAAAACGTGCCTTCCATCAAGTTATGAGACGCCTCAAAACGTGCCTTCCATCAAGTTATGAGACGCCTCAAAACGTGCCTTCCATCAAGTTATGAGACGCCTCAAAACGTGCCTTCCATCAAGTTATGAGACGCCTCAAAACGTGCCTTCCATCAAGTTATGAGACGCCTCAAAACGTGCCTTCCATCAAGTTATGAGACGCCTCAAAACGTGCCTTCCA